TAAATTGTATATACGTATATATTAGGGGTGCAACTGGATTTTATGTGGTGGGGGAGTATCAGTGGTTCCCAAAGTTGGGGTAGGGACCCAAACCTGAAACATCAAGGTGGGGTCCTGAAAAGATTTTCTAAATGAATTACATTTTTGCCTTAGTTGCCTAAAATGTATAAATGTAGAATAATAAATGTTGTTATTATGCCCATGTTTAGTTGACCTGATACAAATGTTTATCATCCAAAAATAGCTGGGAGCAAAGGTCTCTGCTACTGTTATTTTGTGGGTCAAAAGCTGAAAAGTTTGGGAACCACTGCTCTATATGAACAAATGGAATGGATTGGATAACAACACACCAAAGAGGATCTCTACCTTACACTATAAATTAAAGGGAAACTGACAGATTTATGATCATATATTTTAGTTAATAATGAAATATTAAATGGTTGTTTATTCTGACCACATCATATTGAATTTTTGTAAAAATATTTTACACCCAAATAATTTAGGGGGGCTTTAAAATATTTTAGGGGGGCTCCAGCCCCACTAAAATAGGCCTAGTGACGCCACTGTTTACACATCAGCTTATTATTCATTCTGTAACAGGTGTTTAGTCTATAGTTAGTCTTTTTAAATTAGGCTGTAAATTGATCCGTCCATTACCTTTAACCACATCCCCTTTCCAGGTCACAGGGAGCTGCTGCTTATTTCCAGCAGTCACTGTGTGAGTGGCAGTGTACACCCTGGACAGGTCACAGGTTCATCACAGTGTCACATAGAGGCTCACAGAGAAGGACAATTTCGAGTTATCAATGAACCATGTTTTTGTTCCACAGAAGGAAACCACAGTACCTGAATAAAAACTCCACTTATTCACGAAGAACATGCAAATCTCACACAGAAAGGACCCTGCTCCGGATGCAAACTTGAAACCTTCTCAGTGAGAAGAGACATCGTTGACAACTGTGCCACTGTGCTGCTCTAAAAATCAGTGTCTAATTAAATTAAATTACCGCTCATTTAGCTGTGAACGAGATTATAACTTTCAAAAGTCCCATCAAATTACAGCTGTAAGAAGCTCATTTATGAACCTTGTTAGTGTTTTAGA